GGCGGCGGGTTGTGAGGGTGTGGGGGGGTTGTGCGTCGTAAAGCTCTTGATCTTTCGGTATATCTGTGTCTATAAACATCTATATATTATATATGTAAGTCGTTTATGTGCCTCCGTCTCCTCTGAGTGCCCTCCTGCTTAGGATTGGGCTCCCTTCAGGGTGCCGGAGCGGGTTACCCCATCACAGCGTCTGTTTTGAGCCAAGTGGGAGCTCTCGGGGCTCCTCCTCCTCTGGGGTTCATCTGGGACATGTTCGTCTGGGTTTGGAAACGCTGAAGTTTAAATGATACCTTTAATGTTGTTAAAACAATGTTCAGGGTAGAAGGCTCCTTAACGGGAGACCTTGGAGCAGCTCCAGTGCTTTAGGAAACCTGGAGAGGGGCTTTGGGTGCAGGGACAGGACAAGGGGAATGGTTTGAACCTGCCAGAGGGGAGACTGAGATGAGCTCTGAGGCAGAAGCTCTTCCCTGTGGGGGTGCTGAGGTGCTGGCACAGGGTGCCCAGAGAAGCTGTGGCTGCCCCATCCCTGGCAGTGTTCAAGGCCAGGTTGGACACAGGGGCTTGGAGCAACCTGCTCTAGTGGAAGGTGTCCCTGCCCGGGGCTCTAAATGAGCTTTAAAGTCCCTTCAACCCAACCCATTCTATGAAAACAATCCCTTAGGCTCAGGTTTTTTCCACATTTAAATCCTTTGCAGCATTTGTGAAGACACAGGCACATGTTCTCCCACCAGCTCACAGCTCACCATAGAAAGATCTAAAACAATTTAATTACGGCAATAACTTGATCCCAGTCTGCATGGAATTGTGTCCACAGGGATGCGCACGTTTTGGAATACTTTTATTTCAAGTTTCTTAATAAATACTATGGGTTTTCCCAGCTGGGAACACAGAAATCACAGCTCTGCACAGGAGACCTTACATTTGTCACCTCTGGTTTGACGTGGTTCACAGTCAGGCTGCTGGGTTATTTCTGGAGGTTACAGGAGACCTGCACCACCTTCTCATGGCAAAGTGCAGATTTCCCCGATATATTCCTCCTTTTTAGGGCACCTTTTAGGTGCTGCCTCAGCCTCTCCCCTTCCCCCCCAGCTTGAAGTGTTCCACATCACCCCAATCTACCCCCCTTACCCCCAAAGGAAACCACAGCAAGAGACAAAACAGCTGTGTTCACTCTCACACTTTGGGGGAAAAAACCCCACAACTGTTTAAAAGCAAAACATGATCCAGGGGTGGGGATATTGTTCCTCGTTTTGACATGATGCTCAGGAAGAAGCTTCATCCTGGGGGGAACGCAGGTGAAAACCTCCCTGAGGAGAATGCCAGGCTTCCACTTGAGTGAATGCAGCATCGTTGTTGTTGATGTTATAACAGGGTGGAATATTGGGGGAAAAGGGGGGGGGGGGGGGGAACCAGAAACATTTTCACTGGGGTAAGAGCAAACTAAACTCTCCATCTTATCTTTCAGCTCAGCCCTTGTTACCCACCCGGCTCCCAGGATGTGTCCAGCACACTTGGGATAAAGCACGCGGGGGAGAAATGAGCAGATTTTGGGCAGTGAACAGCCAGCCCTTACCCCACCAAGCAAGGTTGGAGCATTTCCACATGTATTTATCCTCCTGGCTGCCATTTCTCCTGCTTGGGCTCAAGCCACGGGCTTAAAGAGATGATTTCTTTCAAGAAAGAGGTTTGTGCTCATGTCCTAGACACATCCCTGCCTCTCCCACCTTGCATTCCCGAGGGTTGGGTTAAGAAGGGAGGGAAGTGGCTTTTGGAGAAACTGGGCTAGGGGAGCACAGAGGGTCTGTGTCCCGGGGAGAGGAGCAGGAGCAATGCTTTCTGCAAAACGAAGACTATTCCCAGCACACTATTCCCTTGGCACAAATGAGCTTCTTTAAAAAGCACATCAGAAATTAGCTCAACCGCTTGTCCCCGAGCACGAGGACGCCCATGGTCACACAGCCACAGGGTGCAGGGCGGTGGCAGAACCCCCCCAGCACCTCCCACCTCTGCTGGCGTGTGGATGGGGGGCAATGGGGTGGCTGTTTCTGCCCCCTCCCCTTGTGTTTGCCCCCTGTCCCATTACCCCCCTGCTCGCCCCATTGTGCGAGAAGGGAAGAAAAGAGGGAGAAGGTGGAGAAAGGGTGAAGCTTTGTGGGGAGCTCATTTCTGTCATTAACGAGATCAAAAACTGCCTGGCAACAACACAAAACCCCCCAACCTCCAAACCGACAACAAAACCGAATCCTGACGTGCCTAGCAGAGAGGGAGAGGGCAGGGGGGGTGAGGAGGGGCAGAAACAAGGGCTTCAAATTAGGTCGAAATCTAAGGAGCTAATGCTGGCAATGGGAGCTCTCCAGAAGTTAAAGGTGTTGAACTGCAGCAGACTGTCCTCTTCTTGGGAGATGTCCTGACGGGCCTGATCCTGCTCGCCGATGAGCTTGCCCAGCCCTCCTTTGGGTTTGTAGAGGGCCACGTCACTGAGCCCCAGACCCTCCAGCTCCGCCACGTCCAGCTCTGGGATCGGCATCCTCCAGTAGATGAAAGAATCGTACTGGCTGCTGATGGTGTCCAGCATCTTCGGGCTGTGAAGGTGAAGGGGGCAAGGGGAGAGGGGGAGAAAAGCTCTACCAAAGGCACAGGAGTTACCTTAAAGCAGCCAAAACTCTCAAGTGTTGCCCATATTGACCAAATCCCCCAGAAACATCAGTGGGGCAGGAAAGTTTGTGTCCTGGAAGTCTGACTAGGTTGGGTCTGAGTGCAGGTCTGAGCCCTGCCACTGCTCTTACCCACGGCCTTTCTCTGAGCTGGCATTTGGAGGGGTGTGCAATGGGACCTGGCCCTCCGTGCCTCAGTTTCCCCATCCATACAAAGAGGACTATGGGAAGGAAGGCCAGGATGGGCTGGCCCCTTCCCAACCGCATCTCCTGACACCCATCCCAGGCACCTCGATTCCTGTGTGGTGGCGTTCGCAGGGAGCAGAGTTGGGCTGTCCCCTACATCCTGCTCTGCTGGGGGTGACAAAACCCAGGCTCCACCAGACACTGCTAAAGGGTCTTGTCCCCCTGTGGGTCGAGCAGCGAGAGGGGGTCCCTGTGCATTCCCACAGAGCCTATGCCCCAGCCCTCCATGCACAGCACCGCAGCGCCCCGAGAGACCACAACCGAACCCTCTAGAAGGGGCTGGAAGAAGCATCTCGGTGTTGCCGTTGCACCCACCCACCCCACGGGTGCTGCCGTGCCGTGCCGTGCTGCAGAGCCCCTTCTGCATCCCCACCCCAAGCCCCCGGGAGCGGGGGAAGAGCAGCAGGGATGTGGTTCAGCGTTTCCTCCAGCTCGCTCGGAGCTGAGTCACTGCTGCGCTGACTCGCTTCTCCCTGGCAGGACTATGTCCTTCACCTCCGCGCATTCGGCAAGGATCAACTGGTTGAAACAACACATCCCTCTTTTCCCACCGATTCCCCCATTTCGAGCCCTGGGGATTGGAATGCGAACGGATGATTCAGACATACCTTGAATCACGCCCTCCCTCACTCCTGCCTTTGCGATGAGGGGTAACCAGCTGCTAAATTTAAGATTACTGATGTAACTCAGAGGCTATGAAAGGCTCCTCCATCACCCCCCCGCCCCGGGTAAACTGAGCCACAGCGCTTGGAAGCAGCCTCCTCCCCAGGGATACATCCCTGGGTACCTTTCTGCATAAGAGCAGCGAGTTATTTAACAGTGACGGATGTTGTGGACAATGGATTTTAAAGCTTCAAAGGGAGTTTAGCAACAAGAAATATCCAGAAAAGGCAATGGGGAGGACCTGGTGCTGCGATGAGGTTCAGGAGAGCCTGGTTCATTCCTCATTCTGCATCAGCAGACCCTTGTACTAGTGTTCCTGGTACCAACCCAGCTAAATATACTACTTTGCTATTTATGTCTTCAGAGTTAGTGGTGAAGAGAAGGTTGTTAGTGGTCTCTAGTAGAGTTTGGATGTTTGGCTTGGAGCTACAAAGTGATAATTTTTTTAAATCTCTTCCCCAAAAAAGCATCCTCTTGCTTTTCATCCCCTTCTGCCTGCATCCCACCTTACCTGCTGAGGAGGGATGGAGGGATGGATGCTGCACCAGCTCTTTGTGCTGAGGAGCTGCAGGCGTCACCGTGTCCCTTT